TTAAATCCTACATCCCCTGGTAGCCCTGATCTGGGTGAACAACATATCCAAAAATCACCCAGATCAGACCAGGGGTTCGGAAAAGTATGGAGGGAATAAAATGACCGACCGCACGAACTGAGATAGCCGAATTCGGTTCCATGTGAATGGGCCCTGCGGTCGGTCCTGGCATAAGGGAATAAAATACATGAAAACCTTTAGCTATAGAGGCTAGGGAGGGTTCGCCTGAATCCCCTTGTTCGGTATTCTCTATCTACCGAACGAGGGGCCGTTCGGTAGTTTGGAACCGAACGGACAAGGGCTGTGGAGGTCTCAGCGGTGTTCGCCTACTCGAGTGTCCGATTTTAGTTCCAGACACTCGACGGCAAAACACCGCTGTTCGGGAGTTTTAAAATGGCCCCCGAGAACAAAGGACGGCTACTTTACTGTTCAATTACCCGTTCGCAACAATGTTGCAACGGGTAATTGAGGACACACTTCACACAGGGGAGGTCTGGTTGTTCGGTAGTTTCATTCGAATAAACTAAGGGAATGGAACTACCGAACAATCACAAGAATACAAGGCTTTAAAACACATAGAAAACCAGCAGATCACCCGAATGCAATTATTTCGAAGACATTTGCAGGACAGCCCAGTGCCATCCGCTACACTGCTCCCCCTTGCCCACAAGCCGGCATACACAGTCTGATCCAACACGGATCGGCTTGGGGATGTCCGGGGACTCGCGGATCATTTCTCCAGGTCAGTTTGTCTTGACAACCCGTCGGCATTCCCATTCTGTTTACCCGGGCGGTACTGAATATTAAAGTCAAAAGGCTGCAGCGCCAAACTCCAGCGCAGCAGCCTGGCATTGTCCCCAGCCACCCGGTTTAGCCAGACCAACGGGTTGTGATCCGTGAGTAACGAAAAAGGCTGTCCATATAGATATGGCTGTAGTTTCTTTAAGGCCCACACCACAGCCAGGCATTCCTTCTCGATGGCGGCGTAGCTTACTTCTCTGGGTAACAGCTTGCGACTGATGTAAGCCACGGGGTGTTCTCCGCCATCGGCTCCGACTTGGCTCAGTACTGCTCCCAATCCAAACATAGAAGCGTCTGTGTGAACAAGAAAGCGTTTAGTTGGATTGGGAGCTGCCAAGACAGGAGCGTTTATCAGTGCATTTTTCAGATGTTGGAATGCCTGCTCACACTCCGGGGTCCAGGTCACCTGGCGGGGCAAATTCTTCCGAGTAAGGTCAGTGAGAGGTTTGGCGAGGGCGCTATAGTTAGGGACAAACTTTCTGTAATACCCAGCGGTCCCTAGAAAAGCTAACACCTGGGTTTTAGTCCTAGGCGTGGGCCACTGGGCCACGGCTTCTACCTTGGCTGGTTCGGGCTTCTGTTTGCCGCAACCCACTCTATGTCCGAGGTACTGCACCTTGGCCATCCCTATGCTGCACTTGGCCGGTTTTAATGTCAAACCAGCTTCCTTAATCCTGTCTAGAACCGCTCCTATATGGGCCAAGTGCTCCTGCCACGTATTGCTAAAAATGGCAATATCGTCCAGGTAGGCACAGGTGTAGTCTTGGAACCCAACCAGGAGTCGGTCTACCATCCGCTGGAAAGTAGCTGGGGCGTTTTTCATCCCAAATGGCATGACCTTAAACTGGTACAAGCCAAATGGGGTGACAAAGGCCGACTTCGGGATGGCCTCTGGGGCCAGGGGGATTTGCCAATACCCCTTACATAAGTCAATGGTAGTGAGGTGTTGACCCCTGGCCATTCTGTCCAGTAGCTCATCTATCCGTGGCATAGGGTATGCATCGGACACCGTTTTCTCGTTTAATCTCCGGTAGTCTACGCAGAAGCGGGTCGTACCGTCCCGCTTCGGTACGAGTACTACCGGAGAAGCCCAGGGACTATCTGAGGACTCAATCACCCCCAGTTGGAGCATCTCATCGATCTCCTTGCGCATGTTTTCCCTCACCGCTTCGGGGATGCGGTAAGGGGTCTGGCGCATCGGTAGTTGCCCTGGGGTGAGTGGCCAGAGGGGTGTACCCAGGTACATTAGAGAACGTGTCTCGTTTCTCCTCCAACAGCTGCTGTACCTCGATGCGCTCCTGTGGGCTCAGCCGGTCTCCCAGTGTGACTTCCCCTAAATCCCCAGACAGCTGCCCATCATCCAGCAGATCTGGGAGTGGTAAGCTGTCAAACTCATCCGAATTGGGCGCACATATGGCGGTTACCTCCTTGGAGCGCGCTTGGTAGGGCTTCATCATGTTCACATGGAGCATGCGTCGCCCTCCCGTCCCTGTACAGGGGCCAATTATATAGGTGGTGTCACATCTCTGTTCCACCACCCTATAAGGTCCCTGCCAGGCGGCCTGTAGCTTGTCATGTCGGACAGGCTTTAAAATTAGCACTTTCTGCCCGACCTGAAAGCTACGGTCCCTGGCTTCCCGGTCATACCATGTGCGCTGGCGGGTCTGTGCCGCCTGAAGGTTTTCCCTTACCGTCCTGGTTAAGGCTTCCAGGCGGTCTCGGAGAGCCAACACATATGGTATGATGGGGGTGCCATCTGCGCTCCGGTCTCCCTCCCAATGCTCTCTTATAAGATCTAAGGGGCCTCTGACCCTCCTCCCAAACAGCAGTTCAAACGGGGAAAACCCCGTGGATTCCTGCGGCACCTCCCGGTAAGCGAATAGGAGATGCGGCAGGAACCGCTCCCAGTCCTTGTGGGTCTTTGCGAAGGTTCTGAGCATTTGTTTCAATGTGCCATTGAACCGTTCGCAGAGCCCATTAGTCTGGGGGTGGTAAGGGGCACTGATAATAGGCTTAATGCCACAGATCCTCCAGAGGTGTTGGGTGAATTCTGCGGTAAATTGGGTACCCTGATCCGAGATAATCTCCCTGGGTAATCCCAACCGGGAGAATATCTGCATGAGGACATCCGCGACCGTTTCAGCCTGAATGTTGGTCAGAGCCACCGCCTCTGGATATCTGGTAGCATAGTCTACTACCGTTAAAATGTACCTTTTGCCTGACGGGCTGGCTTTCGTGAGGGGACCTATCAAGTCTACCGCTATTCTGCTAAAAGGTTCCTCAATTATTGGCAAGGGGTGTAGCTTCGCCTTCCTCCGGTCTCCCCTTTTCCCTACCCTCTGGCAGGTGTCGCAGGTGGTGCAATACCGGCGCACTTCCTGGCTGATCCCTTGCCAGAAGAAATTTTGGGTCAGTAGGTACCTAGTGCGGCTGACCCCTAGATGTCCGGATAGCGGGATATCGTGCGCTATCCGGAGTAGCTCTGCTCGGTACCGCTGCGGCACCACTAGCTGCCTCGTCACTATTGGGTCTGACCCCTCAATCTGCTTGTCTGTCTCCCTGTACAAAAGCTGCTTGTCCCAGACAAATCTCTCCCCCTCTCCCCCCAGAGGGTCTGCTGTCACCTTGTCTCTGTATACCTGCAAGGTGGGGTCAGTTACTACCTCTGCTGCAAATTCGTTAGGAGGGGCCCAGGGGACACAGTCAAGGGAAGGGGAAGGGTCTCTTACCTGAACCTCCGGAAGTGTGTTGTAGTCCTGGGTGCGGGCCTGTTGACGGGTGACCACAGGATGAGCTTCTCCTGTGGTGGGCGTCTGGGGCTCAAAAGCAGATGTGAGCCTCCCCAGATCGTTCCCCAATAAAACCTCCGCCGGTAACTGCGGCATCAACCCCACCTCCACATGTCCTGCCCCCGCTCCCCAATGTAAATGTACCCTTGCTGTAGGTAGCCGGTATACTGCTCCCCCGGCTACCCTGACGGCCACAGTTTTACTTCATCCGAGACCAGGTGACTTTTGACCAAGGTGATGGTAGCCCCCGAATCACGTAGGCCCTGTACTGCTTTACCCTCCAGGTATACGGTCTGCCTGTGATGCTGTCTGTTATCAGCATTGGCCTGGACTGGATCCGCCTCGTGTAGTACTTCCCACTGTTCCACGGTTGTTATGGGAATAGCTGACCCATATGGTGTGGCCACTATATTTTGGTAGTGATGGGCGGCGGCTGCTCTCGGTGGTGGTGGTGGGCCGGGGCGAATCCAGGTAGAACGATCCCTCAGCTGGGGACATTCCCTTTTATAATGTCCCCACTTCTGGCAGTGATGACAGGGGCCAGAAGCGGGCTGGCGAAACCGTGGTTGTACAGCGGGTGGTGGTGGTGGTGGCAGTTGCCTTGGTGGAGCTGGGTTGTAGCTGTTTCCCCCAAAGGTTTTAAAAATAGCTTTTGGGGCTGCTGGTTTCTGCTGCCTGCGTGCATCCAAGTACTCATCGGCCTTCCTAGCCGCTTCGGTAAGGGAGGTAGGGTTTCTGTCCCTCACCCATTCCTGGACCTCGCCTGTTACCCCCTCATAGAATTGCTCTGTGGCGAAACCAACTTCGCCACTGTGAACTGGAGAAGCCTGGTTGCTCGCCTGCTCCCTTTGGACTATGGCCCTGCAGGTTAAACCGTTTATTTCCCCTGCAGAAAGGCTTATTTGTGTGATCTGAGTGCCATTCATCTAATAATGTGCACTCAGATCCCAGCTATCTGGGGATATGTGAAATGTCTGTGTGTTATGTGTAAATGTGACTTTATGTATTTTAAAGTGTTTTGTGTCTTTTTTGCAACCATGTGCTTAATGGAGTCTTGTGTCTGTCCTGGGAGATAATTGAATTACTTATCTCCAGGATAGAAGACTCTGAAACTGGTTTGGGCCAGAAAGCCATGCTTCATTTAGTCACAAAGGACTTTCCCTTAACTTTTGAACCCCTGGTCTGATTCGTGCCATTTTTTAATATGTTGTTCCCCTGAATGGATTGATTATGAAAATGTATGTTTTATGTTTGTGACATGTATATTTTAGAAGTTAGAAATATTGTGTAAAAACTGTATTCCTCTGCCGGTGATAATGAGATTACCCATTGTGTTCAGTAATCATATCACCTGCAGAGGGGAGGATTTTGTGTGGGAGTGTCTGGGTGTATTGTACGGATTAATTGGTTGTTTTGTAACGCCCTGTGGGCTGTACTATGTTTGTGGATTGGGAATAAAAGAGACTGTAGGTGACAGTACAGGGAGTTCCTGTTTTAACCCTCAAAGTGAAGTGTCGTCTCATTATTGGGGGAAGGATTTATTGTATGCTGTTCCAGTTTGACTGCTAGGAGAGTAAACCTATTCATATGGTTCCTATTCAACTGTCTACAGCATTCATATGCTTGGGAGAATTTATTTGTTTCTCCGGTTCGGTGATTGTGGTGTCTGCCAGAGTGCTTGGAGTCCTCAGGAAGCGCTAGGAGCATCCTTCAACGGAGGTACCCAGTTGGGGTGAGAATCCAACAACGGATATTATAGCCAGGACAATGTCAGAGGTACAGGAGTTCATACTGCGTCAAAGGCCACTACAGCAGCTGGAGAGGAATGCTACCACAACTACCATCACCCAGGGTAAGACAAAAATTCCTTACCAAGCTTTTAAAACATATATAGAAGCAGAGGAAGATATAGATGCTTTTCTCCAAGACTTTGAAAGGCTGTGTGCATTGCATAATATTAGCCCAGACGAGTGGGTGCCTATTTTAGCAGGGAAGCTCACAGGGAAGGCGGCGGAAGCCTATAGAACTGTACCTGATGAGGAAATTCGGAATTACCGCAGAGTAAAAGAAGTGATCCTGGCCCGATATGCAATCACGCCAGAGGCATATCGGCGACGGTTTAGAGACCTAAAGAGAAATGACAAGGACTCTCATGTGGAATGGGCTTGCAAGTTGCATCGGGCCGCTCTGGGGTGGGTACAGTCCAATAAGGCTCGGTCCATGGAGGACTTATTGCAAATGGTGTTGTTGGAGCATGTAACGGATCGCCTGGCACCCCGACTGGGTACCTCCGTTGAAGGATGCTCCTAGCGCTTCCTGAGGACTCCAAGCACTCTGGCAGACACCACAATCACCGAACCGGAGAAACAAATAAATTCTCCCAAGCATATGAATGCTGTAGACAGTTGAATAGGAACCATACGAATAGGTTTACTCTCCTAGCAGTCAAACTGGAACAGCATACAATAAATCCTTCCCCAATAATGAGACGACACTTCACTTTGAGGGTTAAACAGGAACTCCCTGTACTGTCACATACAGTCTCTTTTATTCCCAATCCACAAACATAGTACAGCCCACAGGGCGTTACAAAACAACCAATCAATCCGTACAATACACCCCGACACTCCCACACAAAATCCTCCCCTCTGCAGGTGATATGATTACTGAACACAATGGGTAATCTCATTATCACCGGCAGAGGAATACAGTTTTTACACAATATTTATAACTTCTAAAATATACATGTCACAAACATACATTTTCATAATCAATCCATTCAGAGGAACAACATATTAAAAAATGGCACGAATCAGACCAGGGGTTCAAAAGTTAAGGGAAAGTCCTTTGTGACTAAATGAAGCATGGCTTTCTGGCCCAAACCAGTTTCAGAGTCTCTATCCTGGAGAGTAATTCAATTATCTCCCAGGATAGACACAAGACTCCATTAAGCACATGGTTGCAAAAAGACACAAAAAACACTTTAAAATACATAAAGTCACATTTACACATAACACACAGACATTTCACATATCCCCAGATAGCTGGGATCTGAGTGCACATTATTAGATGAATGGCACTCAGATCACACAAATAAGCCTTTCTGCAGGGGAAATAAACAGTGTAACCTGCAGGGCCATAGTCCAAAGGGAGCAGGCGAGCAACCAGGCTTCTCCAGTTCACAGTGGCGAGGTTGGTTTCGCCACACTTCTCCCCTTTACCAACTAGACTAACAGGGTATCTGACCTCCTGCCGGTCAGTGCCCTGGTTAGTCCAGCAACCCACCCACAAAACAGAAACAGCAGTACAGCCCACCCACAATAACTGGTTACTACACCTGGGTAGAGGAGAACTTTGTCCATGTCCAGGTGCCTCACCACGACTGTGTGGGCAACTGTTAGGCTGCCTTGGTGGGTTGCTGAGTGGGCAGAGACCAGCGGTACTCTGCCCTGATGCCAGTGCTACCACAGAAGTAGCCTGGTGGGAGCCTGGTTGTGGGAGGGAGAGACCGACTGTCTCCCCTCTGGATACACTGCTCTGTGGCTGGGGAACAGGACCGACTGTCCCTACCCCTTGTGCTGTAAGTACAGAGACTACAGTCCCATCTTCACTGTTGGGGGGTGTAACATCTCCCCTTGCTGGGTTAGGCTGCCGCTGGAGAGAGGGTGTAACAAGCCCCTCTCTCTGAACTGTAAACTGCCGCTGGGGAGAAGGGGTATCAGGCTCCTCTCCCTGACACTCTCTCTGCTGGTGGAGAGGGGGACCAGCTGTCTCCCCTTTCATTATTTTGTCCTGTGGTTTGGGTGCGAGACTGACGGTCTCTGCTCCCTGCAGGACACTCTGCCGCTGGGGAGGAAGGACGGCACCTTCAGCTCCCTGGGGTACACACTGCCGCTGGGGAGGAAGGACGGCACCTTCAGCTCCCTGGGGTACACACTGCAGCTGGGGAGGAAGGACTGCACCTTCAGCTCCCTGGGGTACACACTGCCGCTGGGGAGGAAGGACTGCACCTTCAGCTCCCTGGGATACACACTGCCGCTGGGGAGGAAGGACGGCACCTTCAGCTCCCTGGGGTACACACTGCTGCTGGGGAGGAAGGACTGCACCTTCAGCTCCCTGGGATATACACTGCCGCTGGGGAGGAAGGACGGCACCTTCAGCTCCCTGGGGTACACACTGCCGCTGGGGAGGAAGGACGGCACCTTCAGCTCCCTGGGTTACACACTGCCGCTGGGGAGGAAGGACTGCACCTTCAGCTCCCTGGGATACACACTGCCGCTGGGGAGGAAGGACTGCACCTTACCTTCAGCTCCCTGGGACACACACTGCCGCTGGGGAGGAAGGACTGCACCTTCAGCTCCCTGGGATACACACTGCCGCTGGGGAGGAAGGACTGCACCTTCAGCTCCCTGGGATACACACTGCGCTGGGGAGGAAGGACTGCACCTTCAGCTCCCTGGGATACACACTGCCGCTGGGGAGGAAGGACTGCACCTTCAGCTCCCTGGGATACACACTGCCGCTGGGGAGGAAGGACTGCACCTTCAGCTCCCTGGGACTTACTCTGCCGCTGGGGAGGAAGGACGACACCTTCAGCTCCCTGGGGTACACCTTTGAGTCCCCGTAACGCACTCTGCCACCGGATAGGGCGGCCGATACCTTTGGCTGGATCTGCCATGAACTGCAGGTACTCGTCTACCTGGCTCCTTACGAGCTGCACGTATTTCTCCGGGGGGTTGGGTCCAAAGAAAGCCAGCCGCATGGTAAACTCTCTGTCATACTGCTCCTGAGTGTAGCTGGGTGCCATGCTTGCGCTGCTGAAGTTAGTTCTTTTGTAGATAGGGTCGCTGTACGGGTACTAGCGTTGCCCTCAATTTGTAAATCCACGAACTGTGTCTCCGAGCTGCTTTACCTCGCACTAGGACGCCATCCCACCGCTGCCACCAATGTAGCGGAGATGCAATATTCCCCAGGTTATCTCCGCTTGTAATCCAAGTGAGGCTCAGGAACAAGTAAATAATAAATCCAAAGGCAAGGTTTCCAGCAAGTAAAATACAGCAATATCCCCACAGCAATCCCAATAACTGGACGACACACAGTTTCAGGAGCAGAACTGACAAGCCTTTAATCACAGTCTCCTTATAAAGCATGCTCCCATGCAAGGGAGGGATTTACAGTAATTATTACAGTAGCCAATCCTGTCCTGGTAACCTCCCACATATCTCCTCCCCTCAGCCAGCATCATAATCCCCTTATCCAGTACACCAATTCCCCCCGTTTCTGGATGTACCCCTAAACGTAGGGATACCTCTTTAAATCCTACATCCCCTGGTAGCCCTGATCTGGGTGAACAACATATCCAAAAATCACCCAGATCAGACCAGGGGTTCGGGAAAAGTATGGGGGGAATAAAATGACCGACCGCACGAACTGAGATAGCCGAATTCGGTTCCATGTGAATGGGCCCTGCGGTCGGTCCTGGCATAAGGGAATAAAATACACGAAAACCTTTAGCTATAGAGGCTAGGGAGGGTTCGCCTGAATCCCCTCGTTCGGTATTCTCTATCTACCGAACGAGGGGCCGTTCGGTAGTTTGGAACCGAACGGACAAGGGCTGTGGAGGTCTCAGCGGTGTTCGCCTACTCGAGTGTCCGATTTTAGTTCCAGACACTCGACGGCAAAACACCGCTGTTCGGGAGTTTTAAAATGGCCGCCGCCACGTGTTCGTTTGTCGAATGGCGGCCACCCCCGAGAACAAAGGACGGCTACTTTACTGTTCAATTACCCGTTCGCAACAATGTTGCAACGGGTAATTGAGGACACACTTCACACAGGGGAGGTCTGGTTGTTCGGTAGTTTCATTCGAATAAACTAAGGGAATGGAACTACCGAACAATCACAAGAATACAAGGCTTTAAAACACATAGAAAACCAGCAGATCACCCGAATGCAATTATTTCGAAGACATTTGCAGGACAGCCCAGTGCCATCCGCTACAAGCAGTTACTTTAGCACCAAGGAGGATGGATCGTGGGTGGGATCCTAGGTTCCCGTATCTGTCAAGGTTGGGGTCTAATACACAGTTAAAATCTCCACAAACAATCATTTGGCCCTGCTTCATCTGGTCAAGTTTGTTCAGTGCTGTCCTAATAAAGTCATATTGGTTGGTGTTTGGGCATACAGGTTGGCTATGGTCACCGCGGTATCATTGAGCAATCCCACCAATATTAGGAGCCTGCCATCAACACTCTTGTACTCCTCACATTGAAAGAGCCAGTTCGAGTGAAACAATGTGCTAACTCCCCTAGTTTTGTTGGACTGTAGATGAGTATATGTCAGTATGTGTATGTGTGGGCATCAGTGACTACATGCCATTGTGTGTGCCAGTGAGTATCAATTAATTAAAAATCCATGTGTCTGTCTAACTTTTTTTTATTTTTTATTTAAAATAACAGATTGAATTTAAAAAAAATAAAAATAGTTTTGCTTTATCTACGTGATTTGTGGGAGTATTATGCATCTATATATTTGCACAAATGTAGATTAATTTCTGTGCAACATAAATATATATATATATACACACACAAAAGCATAATCTTACAAATTATTATGTTTATAAT